TGTATAAAACCATTTGTGGACTGTCCTTCGGCCCTCCGTGCGGCTCCCGGTGTGGCTTGCAACACGACAACGGCAATTACACTGGCAACAGCATTTACAGAAGCTGACAAAACGGGCCCTCAAGCAGGTGGGGATCAAAACCAGGAGCACCTGGGAGGAACCGGGGCGTCTCAGCCACCGTAGGAGTGGGGTGTTCGTGTGCCTCGAATGCTCTGGGGTGCCGAAGCATCGTCTTGCCGCTGGCAGCGCATCCGGTCCAGCCCTTGGCGACTGGCCTGCCACGTCCCTTTCCTCGACTGGGCCTTGGTGCAGAGCAAAGGGTCGAAGGTCCCGCACCCGGTATCTGGACCTCGCGGGGTCCCAGGTGGCAGGGCTGGGGAGGCCACACGGTGCACCTCCGTCAGCCGGATGAGGCAGCCGATCCGGAGCCACAACAGCCGGCTTGGACAACGCCGGCCCCCGTGAGCCTCCCGCCCAAGAGCGCATTTTGCGGCCCCGGGTCCAGCGGGGGCCGTTCTCTTTCTCACGCACCTCAACCCAAGGACTGTCTTCCGGCAGCGCCAGCACCTTCCCTCAGGCTGGCTGGACGGGGTGGAGAGCGGGTTGTCCTCATCTGCTGTCCCGCCACGCCTGGCGAGCTGCAGGCGGCTCCGGGGGTGCGAACGCCGGGGGTTGCACTTGGGCTGCTCCTGGCCCGCGGCTGTGTTGTGTGAGCGCGGCCAGTGGCGTTTTGGGTCAGAGGGGACGCAGCCCGGCTTCGTGGCGGAGGCCCTGCTGGGCATGCTGGACCCGGCCCTCCTAGCTGAAAGGGCTTGGGCCAAAGGGCAGGCGGCCCGTCTGGAGGCAGAACCGGCAGAACCGGGCTGGGTCGACCTGCCCTCGCCCTCCCTCAAGGGCTGCTTCGGGGTTGTGCGCTGGGGAGTGTGTTGCGCCAGCACCCGGGCGATCCGGTTCTGGTCCTCACCTGGCTGTGCGGCTCAGCGGGTGGCTCTGGGCCAGCCCCCGACTCTTCGCCTAGCCTACCTCCCAGGGTTGTTGTGCTGCATTGGAGAGATTCGTGTGTGTGGCCTTGCTCCTCACAGGAAAGATGGGCTATAAGGGCAGCTGGGGGAGCGGGGCGGCTTTTTCTGGGAGTTGCAACCCAACCTCGTCCGCCGTCAGTGGCCCCAGTGGTGTGGGGGGAGCCCTGCCCAGCCGGGGGCCACCTTTCCTGCCCAGGATGTCGCTCCCGCGTGGGTGGGCATCGTGGGCTGCTGGTTGCCACCCTCTCCAGGGCCCTCCCTCCTGAATGCCCTGGAATTCTGAGACTTCAGGGGCATTCTGGGAAAACCTGGTGGTTATTCTGGGAAATCCAGGGGTGCCAGTGAAAAAGAACCAGGCGCTTGGCTGTTTCATTGTGCAAACTCCGGGATGGAAGCTCAGGCCCCAGACTCTCTGCAAGCAACGTTCCTAGCTCAGCGTGGGGGAGGGCGTCTCCTGTGGAAGCCCCCACCTCGGCGGAGGGGAGGCCAGGCTGTCCCCTGCAGGGTCGCCCAAGAGGACTGGTCAAGCTGAGGTGCACCACCCTCTTCAGGGAATCATCTGACGAGAGGGGGGGCGCTCTAGTGAAGACAGGGGGAGAAAGGCCCAGAGGGAGCAGCGGTGGCTGCAGGCGCCCCAGGAGCCCCAGCTAACTCTGGCTAACGCCATGCAGAAGGCAGCCGGGGCAGCCCGCTGCTACACGTGGGTCCCTGGGAGCCCCACATGAAGCGCTGCGAGATGGAGCAGGAGGTCACGCAGCGGATGGGACCTCCGAGCTGGAAGGTGCCCGGCCAGCGGCCGGGGAAGAGCAAAAGCAGTTGCTTCACTGATGTTGCAACTGGATCAGCGCGGAAAGGAAGTGACACTGGCAGGGCCCTCTCCAGGGGACGGGCACGCTAGGGGAAGCCGAAGCCAAAGCAGAAGGGGACGATGGGACGCGAGGGGGAGGCTTCGGGCATCCAAGGTGCCTCTTCTTTGCTGAGCCGCGTCCTCCTGCCTCTCCCAGAAACCAGTGGACGGGAATGCCCTTCCCGCCACCTTTCGCTGCCGGAGCCGCTCCGGTACCGCAGAGAACGTTCTGGTCGCTGCTGAACGAGGCCGGCCCGGGGAGAGGCGGTGAGGGTGCGAGGACCTGCGTCGCAAATGCTGCCCGGCCAGGAGAGGTTGCCTCTGGCTTCTCACGACTCGCTTTTGCAGCAGCAATAAAAGGCCCCCCTGGCTTGCCAGGACGGGGCAGCTTGTGCCATTGGAGGACCTTGACCCCGAGATGGCTGGGAAAAATGCAAGATGCCTTTGCTGTTGCTGGTTCGGTTGGCTGGGGGTTTTGTGGAGTCCATGCAGTTCACTCTGAAATACGAAAGGGCAGCTGCTCCGCGGCCGAGGACTCCGCAGTCCGAGGGAGGTGGGTGGGGGGAGCCCGGCACTTTTGGCGACCCACGAGTGCAATCCTGAGAGCCAGTGTGGTGCAGAGGCAGGACTGCTGGACTGGGGACCCAGGAGATCCCGGTTCGAGTCCCCACTCAGTCATGGATCTAACGGGGTGACTTTGGGCCATCCACAGACCCTCAGCTCAGCCTACCTCACGGGGCTGTTGTGCCGAGGATAAAATGGAGCTATGAACGCTGCCGCGAGCTCCTCACCAAACTCGGAAAGGTGGATGCATCACCATCACTGAGTCCCGCTTTCTTCTGAATCTTTCTGCCGCTGATTCGCTCCTTCTGAACTGCTGGACTCTTGAGCTGGTTCGCCTCCCTCCGGGCCGGGATCCTGGGGCTTGGACGGCAGGCAAGCCCGAAGCGCAGCGGAGCCCCGTCGCCTCCCACGGCCGCACCGTGATGGACGAGGACCAGCGGCCGGGCGGCTGTGAGGCCCAGCAGTGCGGGGAGGGAGCGGTGGACCCGGCTGTTTGGGGTGCCCCGGCAGAGTTCGGGGGGGCAAAGCAAACGAGTCGGCGGTGGAGGGGGAGAGGGCAGGTCGCGCCAGCACAAGAGGCAGTGGCGGCCCGGGACCCGGCTACTCGGGCTCTGGCTTCCACTGGCCCAGAAGCCCACGGGCTCCGCAAGCCACACACGGGGGCTGCCCGGAGCCCCGGGGCCACTCCGTCCCACCCCACTGCAGCCCCCCTTCGCCTTGCTCTTGCTGGGCCCCGAAATGATGGCAAGAAGAGGAGGAGGAGGGGCAGCCGGGGTCCGCTTTCTGCCAGGCCTCTCTGCCCCCCAATCAAGCAGTTTGGAGGAGGAGGAGGAGGAGGAGGAGGAGGGGCAGTGCCCGGTGGCTGAGAGAGGTCTGTGCACGGGGACAGGGGCCCACGGGAGTTGCCCTGCTAGCGGGGCAGCCCTGTGCAAGGGGGGAGGAAAGGGGGGAAGCCCCAGCCCCCCCCCCCGCTGCAGTCTCCCGCCGTGCCTTGGGGGAGCCCGGGCCGCCCGTCGCTTCTCTGCATGGGGCTCCTGCGTGGGGCAGGGGGCAGCTTGGCAGAGCAGCCAAGCCAAGCCTCTTTGCCAGAGGGAGGGGGAGGCGCTCTGGGAACTCGGACGGGGGGGCAAAAAAGCACAGAGAGGCTTGGGGTGGGTTCAGCATGACACTTTTATTGCATCCACACAACTCCTTCCTGCGCGCAGCTCCTCCCACAGGGCCGCCCTCGGGGCTAGAAGTAGATGATGGGGTCGTCTCTGGTCTTGCCCAGCTGGTAGCTGGCGAGCTCGAGTCCCCCGCCGTAGCACGGCAGGGCCTGGAAGACCCGCAAGTGGATGTAGTCGGTCGCGGCGTCGCCGTGCTGGACCTGTGAGGGGGACCCCACGGAGAAGGCCGTCACGGGGCAGAGCGGTGCTCGGCGGATTCCAGGCGGGGCTCACCGGCCTGAGAGCAGCGGCCGAGTGGGCCCCTGAATGGGCGGCCCGCGGCTCCCGGACCTGCTCTCTTCTGCAGCACTCGCAGAAGAAACCTCGGGAGTACGGATGGCTTGCGTTGCACATGGCCGGCTGCAAGGACACGGGGGCAGCGCTTTCCCTGCGAAGCACCTGCCCGTGCGAGGAGCCGGTCCGAGCCGGAGCATCCTTGGGGAAGGACTCTGCCTCCTGCTCAGGGTGCCTCCTGCTGGCTGAGGGCTGGACGGCGGGAGCGGCGGCCCCTGCAGCTGGCCGGCCGCTTTGCTTGGAGCCTCCTTACAGGGCCAAGGGGGCTTTCTCCATCGCCTCCCCCCACCCCCCTGCCCCGACATGCCTCCCTCTTTTCCTGAGAAGGGCTGGCCCCCTCGCTCTGCCCGGGAGTCTTCCTCGGTCCGCTTGCCCGTTTGGCCTCCCCCCAGAATCGGGTGAGTCCCTCCGCGCTCCCACCGCAATCGCCTCCCGGGGCTGGAGGGAGCCACTCCCGAGACGCTGGACCCTGACCCGCCGCCCGCTTGCCCGGTGCCCACCGGCCGGCCCATCCTGCGGCCAGCGAGGGTGGCTAAAGGCAAGCCGGAGGGAAGCCCGCTGGCAAGTGGAGCCCCCCGGAGGGAAGGAGCAGGGCAGAGAGGAGGCGTGCCATCCCAGCCGGGCTGGGGAAGCCCTCGCTCTTGCCGGGAGACTCCCGAGGGCCTGAGCTTGCCAGGCCGGGCCCCGGGCCCTCCGTGGGCACGGGAGAAGACGGCAGCGCGGTCCCAGGGTGGGAGCAATCTGGTCCCCCCCCCACCGCCCTGCTTGACGGCCGGAACCCCCGGCACTGACCTTGATGAAGTAGTTTGTCCCAGAAACCACCTGTGTGCGGTACGAAATCACCTGGAAAATGGAGTAGTTGTCACCCGTTTTCTTCTCCAGCTGGCCCTTCACCTGAGGCGGGAAGGAGGCTGGTCATTCCCTTGCATGGAGCAGGGCCCAGCGAGCGCTTTCCCACGCCCCTGGGGCCTGGGGGAAGCCCACGCCCTTTGCCTGGCCTTCCTTCCAGCTCTTGGGAACCCTGCAGGAGAGCGGAGTCTCGCTGGCAGCCGGGCAGGCAGAGCAGCTGGGCGGGGGGGCCTCTCGGCATGGGCCGAGAACCGCTCCCCACGGCTGTGGCGGGCTGGCCCGGGGGCAGCGCTCACCTTGTTCGCAATTTCCTGAACCTTGGGAGTGACTGGAGCCGGGTCCGTTAGTCCTCCTGGCATAATTTCTGCCATGGCTGCAGCTGGTCTGGTCTGGTCTGGTCTGGTCTGGTCTGGTCTGGTCACGCACGGCCCCTTCTCCTTTGCATGTGGGGTGAAGTGGCCAGGCAGGGGCCGGTTTTATTTTATCCTGCGAGGAGCGTGTCATGTGAGGGAGAACTCGCGATTGGATTGCGCATTTCTGTTCCGCGAGAGCCACACCTGCAGATGTTGCAACAGCTGGGCTGGGCCAGGTGCTTCCCAGCTGTGCTGGAAATGACGCCCAGGAAGCTCCCAACTCCTCTCGCACCCCTCAAAGCCAAGCGGCGGGACAGGGAAAGGAAACCGAAGGTGAAAAGAGCGGGTGGTTTTCCCCTGTAGCCCTTTTCAGCACAGTGCATATATTTATTTTAAAGTTTATAGAGTTCTAAAGACGCAGTTGTCCAGTTTTGTCAGGAGTGCTTTTCCTGGGAGGTTCTGACGCACCAGAGAGTTCCTTCCTCATTAAATCTCGCAGCCTGACTCTCCTGTCAAATGCGACGGTTGCGGCTGCTGGGAAATTTAGACCACGTGTTTTGTTCGAAGCTGGACAGCTGCCACCGCTCCGAGACTCGCAAAGCGCTGCGCTGCACGGGAAAGGCGTTGAGCTCGTGCGCGGCGCTGGGCTTTCCTCTCTTGCGCGTGGCCTCCTGAGCGTGGCCAGGTCAGCCACAGTTCAGAGCACAAATTGGGACCCACACGGGGATCGGGGGCACTCCTGCCCCCACCCTTTTGCTGCGTTAGCCCCAGGATGTCACCGAAGCATCCCCTCCGAAGCACATGAAGGGCCAGTCCCCTGCTGCTCAGCACTGCCAGGCCTCAGCTGGAGTCCCGTGTCCACTTCTGGGCTCCTGAGTTTTGGAAGGACGCAGGAAAGCCGGAAGGGTGCAGAGGAGGGCGGCGGGGATGGTTCAGGGCCTGGAGGTGAAGCCCTGTGAAAGACGGAGAGAACTGGGCATGCTCAGCTTGAACGCGCAAGAGCTGAGCAGGGCTGCCAAGGACATGCGATCGGGAAGGCATCATTGATGGGGCTGCCATGAGTCAGAAACGACCTGATGGCTCGCGCAACAACAGCGTTCACACTGGGCTTAGGACAACTCCTTTGGCAAAGTTCCCCACAACATCCTGATGACCCAACTAACAAAAATTACCAAACTAGCAAACTAGCGCTCCAACGGAGCCAAGCTCAGGGAGGCAAGGTTCAGTTTGGATGCCAGGAAGCACTTCCTGACAGTCAGGACCCCGCGGGGGTGGAATGGGCTTCCCCGGGAGGTGGCTGAGGACCCATCGGTGAGGGTGTTCAAGGACAGGCTGGACGTGCACATGGTGGGCATGTCGCGAGCGGAGCCGGCTGGAGCCGGGGGTCAGACTAGATGGCCCGGGAGGCCCCTTCCGCCTCGCTCTGCTTCTATGTTTCTATGTAAAGAGCGGGCTAGACAGGGCAATGGCGAGGTGGATCCACAGGCGGCTGCAAAACCAGACCCAGAGGGTGCTCATCAGTGGCACCTCCTCAGACTGGGGAGAGCTGGCAAGTGGGGTGCTGCAGGGCCCTGTCCTCTTCAATATTTGCATCAATGATTTGCATGAGGAAGCACAAGAAAATATATTTACGGTTGCAGATGACATAAAGCTGGGTGGAATAGCAAATTCCGTGGAAAAGAGAAATAAGATAAAGGATAATCTCAAGAATGAATCACAGGCTAGAATTACAACTGCCATGAGAAATATCAACAACCTCAGTTATGCAGATGAGGTTGGGGAAAATGAAGAGGAACTAAAGAGCCTCTTGATGCAGGTGAAGGAGGAGAGCACAAAAGTTGGCTTGAAACTCAACACTGAGAAAACTAAGATCATGGCATCCGGTCCTCTCACTTTCTGGCAATTGATGGGGAAGAAATGGAGGTAGTGACAGATTTTATTTTCCTGGGCTCCAAGATCACTGCAGACGGGGACTGCAGCCAAGAAATTAAAAGACGCTTGCTCCTGGGGAGGAAAGCTATGGCAAATCTAGGCAGCATACTAAAAAGCAGAGACATCACCCTGCCGGCAAAAGTGTGTATAGTCGAGGCTATGGTTTTCCCAGTTGCAATGCATGGCTGTGAAAGCGGGACCATAAGGAAGGCTGAGCGCCAAAGGATTGAGGCCTTGAATTGTGGTGCTGGAGGAGACTCCTGCGAGTCCCTTGGACCGCAAGGCGATCAAACCGGTCAGTCCAAGAGGAGATCAGCCCCGCCTGCTCTTTAGAAGGCCAGGTCCTGAAGATGAAGCTCAAATACTTTGGCCACCTAATGAGAGGGAAGGACTCCCTGGAGAAGAGCCTGATGCTGGGAACAATAGATGGCAAAAGAAGGAGGGGCCGGCAGAGGATGAGGTGGCCAGATGGGGTCACTGAGGCAGTTGGTGTGAGCTTAGGTGGACTCCAGGGGATGGTGGGGGACAGGAAGGCCTGGAGGAATGTTGTCCGTGGGGTCGCGATGGGTCGGACGCCACTTTGACTAGCAATAAATCTCAATAAGTTGGAACACTGGGAAAGAGAGCAAGAGAATGAAATTCGTCAGGGACAAATGCCACTTTTTGCACCTAGATAAAAGAAGCCAAACGCAGCACCACAAGAAGAGGGGGCACTTGGCTCAGCAAGACTGCAAAGGAGAGGCCCTTGGGGTTGTTGCAGCTCCCGAGCCAACAATGTGACGCAGCTGCAAAAAGAGTAAGTCCCGTTTTGGGCTGCATGAGCAGAAGCATCCCCTCCGAAGCACGTGAAGGGCCAGTCCCCCGCTGCTCAGCACTGCCAGGCCTCAGCTGGAGTCCCGTGTCCACTTCTGGGCTCCTAGTTCTGGAAGGACGCAGGAAAGCCGGAAGGGTGCAGAGGAGGGCGGCGGGGATGGCTCAGGGCCTGGAGGCGAAGCCCTGTGAACGACGGAGAGAACTGGGCATGCTCAGCCCCCGGAAGAGAGGGCTGGGGGGGCGGGTAGGAGAGCCCCCTGCAAGCACCTGCAAGGCTGCCGGAGAGGAAGGGCAAGGTCTCCTCTCGTCCCTTCCAGAGTGCCGGACACTGAACAACGGACTTGAGTTCAAAGAGACTAGATTTAGGCTGGACACGAAGCAGCGTCCCCTCCTGTTAGAGCAGCGTGGCAATGGGGCCTATGACCTGGGCTCTCCAAAAAGCATCTGGACCGTCCTCTGAGGGGGTGGGTGAACTGGTGTCCTGCAGCTGCAGGGGCTGGACCTGAAGACCTCCTGGCCCCTGCCAGCTCTGCTATTCCAGGGTTTGGCAGCACGAGGGCCAGCCCCCAGCCCCCAGCCCCTGGGCCAGCCGTGTTCCTGGGAAAAGCTACCTGGTGGAGCGCAGGGCTTGCGAGCTGCTCGGAAGGAGCCCTGTGGTGGGTGCAGTGTACATGCATCGAATTGTAAATTCCCACACGGAGCGGGGCCTCGTCCTGCCACGGTTTCTCCTGCCCAGGCTGAGGCCTGCAGCAGGCAACGCGTCTCGACCAGAGATTCCTCGCAGGGCCAAAGCAAACCTTTGCCGGGAGACAGGTGGGCGGCCTCAGTCTCCCCTCCTGCCCCCTTCAGACCCAGCGTGGCACAGCGGCACATGAGTCCTTCCGTGCACACGCCGGGGGTCTCTGCATAGGCCCCATTTACCCACGAGAAAAAGACAGCCGGGGGGGGGGGTGCATTTTGACAGGGAAACAGCGGCCCGCTTGCATCCTCTGGTGTGTGGGACCTCGGCAGTAGCCCCAGGGGCCCCTTCCAGGCGGAGAGGGACCTCAGCTCCTCCGCGGGGGACAGAGGAGCCCCACTGTGCAAGCGCAGGCGCCAAGCGGCCGGGCGCCGCCGGACACGCTCCGTCTGGGCAGCCCATTCACCACAGCTGCACGAGGCCAGAACATGGTCCTGGGGGGCCGGGCTGGCCGAGGAGGGGAGGGGGGGCAGGCGGGGGCACGAGGGGGAAGGGGGAGAAGAAGGCTCGTACCTCGAAGGTAAAGGGGTGCGCCTGCTCACCGAGCTTCCGGATGAGCCGTTCCTGGAGCCGCGTGAGGGGCTTCTTCTCCTCGGGGACCGGCGGGAAGGCCTGGGCGCTGGCGACGAAGAGGTCCTTGCGGAAGGTCAGGCCCAGGACGTCCAGGTCCTCGCGGCCGTAGCGGAAGGCGCACGTCAGGGTCGCAAACACTGCACCGCGGAGAGGACGCGTTTTAGATTGCTAATTGGTTCTATATTTTTAATGCATTATATTTTAATTCATGTTGTGAGCCGCCCCGAGGCTTCGGCGAATGGGGCGGCACAGAAATGTTTTAAATAAATAAATAAATGTTGCACGGGGGAAGAGGAACCGGCAGGCAAGTCCCTCTGACCCTTTTAAAGCGCTTGACATTTCTGCAGGTTTTCATCCCTGCAGCACACCCTCTTGCTCCTGAGGAAAATGTCTGGGGGTGAAATCCTACGCACGTTTGGAGAGAAAGCAGCCCTGTAATTCCCAGCGTGTCCCGGCTGGGAGTCGCAGGGCATTTTTCTCTCCAGACATGCACAGAATTGCACCCTTAGTAATATTTCCCGGTCTGTCTGTCTGTCTGTCTGTCTGTCCTTCAATTACTTGATCTCATAAGATCTCTAAGTGGCTTACATAAGAAATGCACAAAGTACCATATAAAGCCAATATAAGAACAACATGAACCAACACTCAAGCACGAAAACTGCAACACAACAGAAGCAGGACTGAAGTGGATCGCGGGTGTCCCAGAGGCAGGCCTCCGGCCGGCTTCCGGCCCCGATCTCTTTCACTACCCTTTTCAGCACATTATTATTATTATTATTAAAACATTTCTATGCCGCCCCTTGCCGAAGCCTTTGGGCGGCTTACAACACAATAAAATACAATAAAATACAAAAATAACAATATAAAATTAAAATTAACAATATAATAAATAAAAAATATAAAAGAAGTGGCTCAACGGAGCAAAGCATTACCTTTCCTTTCTTTTAGGTATTCGGGATCAACCAGGACGACGCCATCTGCAAGGGAAACGGAGGCAGCGGTGAGGCCCGCGCACTGGTCCTCCCGTTCCGCCCGGGAAGCGTCCGCACGGGCCAGCGTGGCAACCCACCACGGTGGCATTTCAGGATCAGCGCCCACGGTGGGTCCCGGCAGGGCTGCCGAACAGCCTGGCGCTCGGAGGAGCTGGGACACGCGAGCTCCGGCCCACGGGAAGGCAAGCGGGTCGGAGTGATCTGCCCCGAAGCGGTGGAACCGAGAGGCTGCTGGGCTGTTCGGCCAGGATGAAAGGCGCCAGAAGGGGGGCTCATTTGCACGGACCGATGGCAGGTGACCCTGCAGAAAGGGGGCTGGGGGCGCCGAAGGGCAGGGCAGCAGGTGGGGCCACTCAGCTGCATCTGATGCGCTTGGGGGTGGGAAGGATGCGGTCGGCTGCAGGTCTCGGGGGCAAGGTGGGCGCCGCAGAAGGTGCAAAGAGGGGGGCACTTTGCTGGTGTTCCGGGAAGCGATCCCAGTCGCAGAGAGAGCGAGGAAGGAGTGGCGGCGATGTCCGTGGGAGTGGGATCTCTGGGTACAGGGGAAGGGGCCGCGGAGGGCCGTGGGCGGGCACACAAGGGCAGGTGGACTGGGTAGAGCAAGGCCATGGGGGGCTGGCTGTATCATCTTCATCTTCATCGTCATCATCTCAACTTATATTCTGCCAGGCTAGCCTGAAGCCTCTCCAAGCGGGTTGCTTATTACGTACTATCTAGACTGCCTTTCCGCGTCTTGCGGGAACCCGGCGCAGGGCCCATGGCCTTCCCTCCCCTGCTGTCTTCTCCCCACAACAACCGTGCCAGCACCTGTCAACCACAGGCGCCCCCCGGAGCCTGGATCACACCTGCCTTTGGTCCAGGCCTGACACAGGAGAGCATTTCTCTGAGTGGCACACGATGCTTTCCGTGTTAATATAACCCATGCTCCCCTCACCCAGCTTGGAGACTGCCACCCCCACCTGCAAGTCCCATCAGGCCTGCTCAGGTCACCCCCTGGAGAGACAATCAGACCTCCCCTGTCCTCTGACTCCGCATCCAGGTCCGAGTGAAAAGTCCTGAAAGGCTGAAGGCAGGTGCGGACCAGTGGTTTGACTTCAGACGTCCCCCGCACCCTCCACCCCGGGACACCAGGTGGCTCGGATGGGCTCCCAGGCCATCACACACCTGGGCTTAGGTGAGTCCTGGCAAGGGCAGCGCATCATGCAGGGAAAGGTGCCGGGAGGCGCGTGGCCAGGTTATCGCTTCGGTGCGAATGGGAGTTCAGAGGGCAAAGGCGAAGGAGCTCGGACGGCAGTGAACGCCAGTATCAGATCGAGGCCAGGAAACGCCTGGGGCAGGAGGGGAAGGGAGGCAGCACAGCAGGAGGCGGGCGAGAGCCCCGATCTGCCCAAGGGCGGACAGCAGGGGTCCGGGGTCCGGCCAGGGTGCGCCCCAGGAGCTGAGCAGTCTGCCAGAGGCAGGGGTCCCTCCCCCGGAGGGGTGCTGGAGGTGCTGGGAGCCAGCACAGGTGGGAGATTCAGCTCAGGGAGCGACCGAAGGAGTGGGGCATCCCGTGCCCCATCTCTGGGTCGGCGAAGGGGAAAGGACCGCAAGCGGGGTGGAGCCGAGAGGCCCTAGCGAGGGCTCGGCTCTTCAGCCTGGGTGAGCTCCGCGATGAGCAGCAGCAGGGGCGTGCGATGGCGAAGCCTTGCAAGAACGAACTCTGGAGCAGCACGTTTACTCCGGAGGAGGACCGTGCCTCACGGCAAACCGATCCGAGGTCCGGAGAACGGGAAGGCCAGCGCGAGTCCCCTTGGCAGTGGCCACACGGCTGCCCTCGCTCTTTAAAATGTGGCCAAGCCACCCGGCGGCGACGACTCACCGACTGGATCGACCACATCGATGTGGTCCACGAAGTCCCGCTTCCCGAGGTAGACGGTGAGCTGCAGAGCGGAGACAAAAAGACAGGGTAGCGCCGAGTTTAATCAAAAGCCCGTTTAACAGGATGCGGTTTTTGGTTGGCTTGTTTTTACTCGAACTCATCCATCTATGACATTTCTGTCCTGTGCAGTAGCCAAAAACTCTGGGCAGGTCACAAAACTGGAAGCCATAAAAGATAATAGAAAAACGTCAACATGCAAAAAGGCAAGACAATTTGAAACAGCTCAAGTGATGTACGGCGGATCCCTGGAAGCCAGTGAAACAAATGAGCATCAGTTACCGGTCCCTGAAGTAGGAGAAAGTCTGAACCTGGCATTGCTGGCATCGGGGGGACCTCAGTGAGGAGGACATTCTAAAATTGGGGGGCCCACTGCCAAGAAGGCCCCCTCCCTCCCTCCCTCATTTATTTATTTATTTATTAGCCTGCCCCATTGCCACAAGGCGCACGGTGGGCGGGAGCCCCGTTTCGGGCTGCAGGACTACCAGGCGACTGCCTGGGCTGGTTGATCGGCTGTTTGCTTATTCTCTCCATCTGTCCCCCTTCCTCCAAGCAGGATTCCAGGCCGGGCCCTGCACCCGGCGGAGCTGCACCATTCCCGAATCCAACCACCTGCTGTGCATCGAAAGGTCACAGCATGCGCGCATCCAAAGGCACAGGAAGCCCCAGCTGGGCCTGCCACCTGAAGATGCTAAATAGACTCGAGTCTGTGAATCCCCCGGACTGGCAGAAAGACGAACAAGCGAGTCCTTGATCAAATGAAGCCAGAAGTTTCCCTGGATGCAAAAATGACAAAGCTGATGCGTCAAACTCCAGGCACATCATGAGATGGCAGGACCCCCTGGAGAGGGGGAATCGGAGGCAGGAGCAGAGGAGGGGGACCGACTACGAGGCCCATCAACTCCACAAGGGAGCCGCCGCCTTGCTCTGCCGAGAGCCGGGCTGGGATGGTCGCCCTGCGTCGGAGACAACTTGACAGCCCTTCATGGCAGAGAACTGTGGGCTGCGTCTCCGTACAGCAACGCCGGCTTCCCAGTGGGCACCACAGAGCAAAGGGGCTCCTACGGTTTCTCTGCCTTTTCCTCCTTAGCAGATGTGTGCTTGTGTGTGTGTGCAAGCACATGGGATGGCGGTAGCGTTGAAGAGCATGGAGGGCTGCAAGAGGAAGCAATGTTGCTCGGACTCTTGCGCACCCAGCAAAAGTCCACGAACGAGGCAGGACAGTTGCATGACAACCCCCCGCCTCTCTCTGGAAACACGCTTGCCCTCCACTCAGTTGCAGCTCGGCCTCTGACCGCCGGCCCACTCCTTGTGTGCATCGTTATTTAATAAGATACATGCTTAGCCTGCTAAATTCTACACATCTCATTCAGACAACTGTCCCCTTGCAAAGCTCGTCCCAAAGGTACAAGGCCCAAAAGGTAAAGCACCATAAAGCGAAGTCAAAACACTCATCAAAACACCAGGCCTGACCAGTCACATTGGTCAGTTGTTCTTAGAAATGCAGAACATTTGATTCTGGCAGCAAAACCCTCAAAAAGTTAATGCTCAGCAGCAGAATCCAGTCCTGTATTCATTTGACTATAAAGTTGTCCAAGCTACTTTTCAGGAATTATGGGAACACCCCTTTTCCTCTGCTTTTACACAATAAAGTTTTCATTCATTCTCTGCAAACTACTGAGCATGTCACAGAATTTCACCGATGCTGAAAACAGTACCAACCCCTGTGATTCACAGCCCTGTGAAAGTCATGTTTTCCAAACTTGCCTTTGGATTTTAAAATAGGCAGATTAAAAATGTGCATTCCCCTAAATTTACATTTTCCCATTTCAGCGTATAAGCATGTTGAATGCACTCTTTTAAACATCCACATTTTCCCCACTCAAACAGTCCCCGTCCCCCCCGCCCCAAGGAACTGAAACAAGAAACAGACGTCAGGCAAGCAAGGAAAGCAGGTGAGTCAAGGATCAAGGTGGGACCCTCGCTGGACCCTTCCTGGGTGGGAGCCTGGCGTGCAAAGCCACGTTCCCCTGCCCCGCTCTCGACTGGCAAATTACATAATTGCAAGGAGGTTATTATGGAGGCGGGGGGGCAGAGGCGGTCTAACCTCGGATAGCTGATCCCGGGCGCTCCCCAAAATAAACTTTGCTGCAGGGGGGCAGCTAGGCACGACCAACCAACCCCAAGCCCATCTTTGGATAAACTTGCCGCTGACAGATGGTGCCAAGCAGCTTAGGGGGGGATTTAGATGATCCCGCATGGTCCTGCACTGCCCCCTCCCCAACCCGCTGGCTTCCAGGGGCTCATCCGCCTTAAAAGGGCGCTTAGGAAAGCTTTGCAGGCCTCCGGGGAAACCCGTGGGTTTTGTCCAGCCCCCGTTTTGCAGCAGCCGGACCTAATTTCTTGGTGAGGGCCAGCCAGAAGGAGGTGTCCCAGGAGGCCTGGGGCAAGGAGAAGGAGAATGCCTGGAAGCCAAGCAGGGCGCCCCGCACGGAAGGAACCAGCTCCGGTGCGCAGCTGCCGCGCCTGTGGAAGAGGCAGGGGTGCTGTTCGTGGCAGCCCACGGCCCCGCTCCTGCATCCAGGGGTGCGGGGGGGGGGCAGGCGAGCTTCCATGGGGCTCAACTCGAAGAGGCCCTTGGGGGAATTTGCAGTCCTATAAATGGAACAAGAGGAGTGAAAGTAGCAAACCGAAACATACCAGCCCCGCCAGAGTTGAGACCCTCTCTTCTGCGACACCCCTTCAAGCACTCTGCGCTCACATCAGGAAAAATGCGAGCGAGTTTGGAACAGTACGCAATAAAATTTTGTGTGAAAATGGGTAAAAGTGCACCAGAAACTCCAGAAATGGAGAGGAGGGCTTATGGAGAAGCTGCGCTATCATCTGCACAAGTCCACCAACGGCACAAGTTGAGCTTGGCTCAGCTTGGATCCTTCATCGCAACAGCGCACTGAGCCGCGGTGCTCTGGCTGCCGGAGAGTTTTGGCTGAAAAACACCTCACGGGGCTCCCCCATCCCCCCCACAGCCCCGACCTGGCTCCTTGCTGCTCTTTCACCTTCCCAAAGATGAAGAATGGTCTGAAAAGACACCGCTTTGGTCGTGTGGGCAATGTCCCAAGAGCCACGACGCAGGCTCTGAACGCCACCCCACAGGAAGACTTCCAGGGATGCTGTGAGGAATGGGAAAATCGCTGAGAGCGTTGTGTGCACTCGCACCGTGCCTTCTGCGAAGGAGAAAATGTTCGGTTGTAAAATTTTTCAGTTAAAGAATTCTTAGAACACCATTCCCATTACTCCCTGGACACACCTTGTCTAACCGTTGAAGTATCAGGGCTATTCAGCTTTAAGGGTGTTTACCTATCAAAGAGTAAACAGCTCCTGAAGGAGAAGGTCTTCACCTGGCCCTGAAGCTCATGCAGGATGAGGATGAGGATGACGAGGCGAGGAGGGTCTCCCCGGGAGGGGCGCCCCATGGACGGTCTTTTCCGGGCAGGCACCCGTGGCACCCTTAGGGGAGGGGGTGCCACCCGAGAAGGCCTCCAGAGACTAGCTGAGCCTCAGAGAGTCTCCGGGGCAGGGGGGACGTCAGGGAGACAGGACCGAAGCCCCTGAGGACTTTGAAGGCTGGCGCCACGCTCTCTGTGAAGACATGGCCAGCACGCACGGGCCAAGCCTTCTTCCCAGCTGAAAGGATGCAAAACGGGGGCCTGCGGGACAGGTGGGCATGAGCGGGCTGGTCCCCCAGCGGTGCTGTTTGGTCTGGTCCCACTGGGAAGCTCAGCTCCACAGCGGGGTGATGTGAACTGGGCCAAGCTGCCACTCTGAACCAAAAGGGAGGAGAGAGCAGCCGAGCCGAGCCGAGCCGAGCCGAGCCAAGCCAAGCCAAGCTTTTGTCCCCCTCCTCAAGAGCACACGCATTCCTACAAACATGCTGTTTCCAAGGGCCGTGATCTCCATACCTGCTTTCCCACGCACACGCACACACACACTTCCTCAGATGGGGTCCTGGCTTCTCACCCGGGGCCACCGCCCGGCTGCTGCCCCCCTCCTCATCCTGCCCCCCAGGGGTGCTTTGCTTCGCCTCCCCCGGGGCTCGCCGCCCCACCTGTGCTGCTCTTCCTGCTCCGCCCGCCCACTTCTCCCGGGCCGGATTCCCCGAAACCCCTTGTGTCGCCCCAGCGTGTGCCTTTCGCTCTGCTCTCTCCTCGCTTTCTGCCATTTCCTTGCCAATCTTTTTGCTTCCAGTCCAGACAAAACCTCCTCTGCTCTCTCTGCCGGGCAGCCCCTTTCGCTTGGGGTCCCCAGCCGCTGGCTGGGCCAGAAAAGATCACCAGCTTGATTCCCAGGCCTTTGGCCCCCAGCGGCCCTTTTAACCATGTCCCTTCCAGTCGCTTTTCTCCTTTGGGCTGAATGCCAGCAACCTGGCCTGGGGCGCTCCCAAAATGAGCAGCAGCAACTGCTGCCCAGACCTTCCCCGACACGTGACCTTTTGCTGCAAGTTCTGGCTTTCGCTTTTGCTCCCGGCTGAAGAAACGCGCCATTTCCCTTCGCCACCACGGATCCACACTTCCCTCTTAGTGTCTGGGGGTCCTGCTTCCCGTGTCGCCTGAGTCAGAGACAACTTGGCGGCCCGTAAGAGAGCAGCTTCCCCTTCCCGGCACGAATCGAGTGGCTCCAAACCTTGAGCGCGGTGGCGTAGGGGCCAGGGATGGCAGGGGAGCTGCCCTGCACTCGCCGGTGTCCTCTCCCCGCCACCGCCCCCCCCCCCGCCATGGGCCGGACATGCACATGGTGGGCATGTCATGACTGGAGCCGGGGGTCAGACTAGATGGCCCAGGAGCCCCCTTCTGACTTGCTCAGTTCCTATGTTTTGATGAGGATGATGATGCAGAAGGGCAAATGCCTGCCCCTCCATTCAGCCAGTGCAGGCACGTGTGTGTGTGGGGGGCGGGGGGTTGTTTGGATGCGAGGAGCCTGCATTCAGATCCCCGTCGAGCTGGCCAG